CGCCCGGCTAGTTTTTTGTATTTTTTTTTTTTAGTAGAGACGGGGTTTCACTGTGTTAGCCAGGATGGTCTCGTTCTCCTGACCTCGTGATTCGCCCGTCTCGGCCTCCCAAAGTGCTGGGATTACAGGCTCGAGCCACCGCGCCCGGCCAACAGCTAATAGTTCAAACTGCCACCTTCTACAAAGAACTGCCAGTGGAATAGATGCTGCCGCAGCGCCTTTGCCTCAGGTGGGATGAATTTTGCGGAGGAATTCATGCTCGAGAGCTCCCCACAGGCTCACACTGAACCTGGAGAGCTGCTGAGCCCACACCCTCGCTCAGCAATACCTCACCCTAGGCTGCATTCCTCCTTCTCTCCCGAGAGCACTCTCTCAATAGGTCACTTGCACAAGCCTCCTCTGGTTCTGCCCTGAAGGATCTCACCGCAGACAACCCTCATGACCACCATCAGGGGATGTTTAAATACACGTGGCGTGTGCAAACAGCGGAATGATGGTAAGCACGGGGAAGGAAGGCTTGAGATAAATCATACTAGGATGGAATGCTGCTAAATGAAAAAAAAAAAGCCAAAGAACATAGCATATAGTATTTAGCCCATGTGTATGCATGTTTATATAAAGACATTCATATATGAACAGAAGAAGAATTTACATAAATATGTTAACAGTGGTTATCTCCAGATGGTTCCATTATGATGAACTTTCACTTTCAAAGCTGTTCATGTCTGTTTTGTCTGAATTAAACAAATTTTTCTAATGTATGCCAAGTCAATGGCAAATGGATATTTTTTTAAAAAGTGATGTATTATCGGCCGGGCACGGTGGCTCAAGCCTGTAATCCCAGCACTTTGGGAGGCCGAGACGGGTGGATCACAAGGTCAGGAGATCGGGACCATCCTGGCTAACGCAGTGAAACCCCGTCTCTACTAAAAATAACAAAAAATTAGCCGGGCGAGGTGGCAGACGCCTGTAGTCCCAGCTACTTGGGAGGCTGAGGCAGGAGAATGGCGTGAACCCGGGAGGCAGAGCCCGCAGTGAGCTGAGATCCGCCACTGCACTCCAGCCTGGGCGACAGAGCAAGACTCCGTCTCAAAAAAAAAAAAAAAAAAAAAAGTGATGTATTATCATTGTAACCATATAATAAGGAAATAGCTCTGGAGACAGAGACCTGGAGTCAAATTGCAGCTCTACCACCTACCAGATGTGACCACCTGCTCTTCTGAGCCTCAATATTCTCATTCCCAAAATGAGGATAATATCTAATTTACAGAGTTGTGGTGGGGATGGAATGACACAAAGCATAAAGGATACTTTTCTCTTAGCAAAGTGTCTGCCACATAGTACACATGCAATTATGGTAAACATTTTTATAACTTTTACTTTACAGTGGCTGTCTTTAGGTGGTGAGATTATAAGATTTATTTTTTCTTCCTACTTTTCTTTAGTCAGTACCTTAGCAATAATCAACAAGTTATATATTTCAAATCTTGCATCAATGATGTGTCTCCATATTTGGGGGTCTGTAATTAACTCCTCAAGAGAAAAGAGAATGCATTGCCTGATGCTTCTAGTTAGAGCGTCAATATGCATAGAATGTGCATATTTTAGCTACAAAATCAGGGTGGGAGAAGAGACTGGACGTCAACAAGAGGAAGCAAGAACACACAAAATAGGTTAAAAGGATGCCACATATAAAGTCATGAAATATGACTGACTCCTTAGCACGCTGAAGGCAAATGCACAGGTCCTACCTCAGGTCCCCTGAGTCAGAATCCTCAGGAGTAGATGCTGGGCATCTGTATGCCTAACCAACATCAAATCATTATGATTCACAATAAAGCTGAAGAGCTCTGACTTAGTTGATTTTTTTTTTTTTTTTTTAAGAGACAGAGTCTCACTCTGTCACCCAGGCTGGAGTGCAGTGGCACAACCATAGCTCACTATAGCCTCCAACTCCTAGGCTCAAACGATCCTTCTGTGTCAGCCTCCTAAGCAGCTGGGACCACAGGCATGTGCCACCATGCCTGGCTAATTTTTTTTTTTGTGGGATGGAGTCTCACCATGTTGCCCAGGCTGGTCTCAAACTCCTGGGCTCAAGCAGTCCTTCCACCTCAGCCTCCCAAAGTGCTGGGATTACAGGCATCAGCCTCTGTGTCCAGCCCCTAAATTAATTTTTAAAATACCTGAAATCCTGTAAAGTAGACCAAATACACAGATTCCAAAATTATATCAAGAGTTCCTGAAGAGGTCTTATAAAATTGATAAAAATGAATTTAAACTTTTTAAATGAAATGATAAAAATGATTTACTCATTGGATAAATCAGCTTTTAAGTAAAAAGTTTTGTATCTAAATGGGCGGCCTGCTCTTCCCACCCTGCTCCATTCTCTCCACTCCCCTGTCTGAGCCATGGGGCCCAGCCATCCTGGGCCATCCAGAGGCCTCGGTGAACCCCAAGGAGCAATAGGCAAGGGCAAGTATGTGCAGAGCTTGCAGCCACAGGTAGAGCTGGAACTGGGACCGGAGTCTTCAGAGCTTAATTTGGGGCTGAGGTGAGGCCTTAGATAAAGCCAGGGCCAGGGTCATTTTAGAGCCAACGCCCAGCCTGGGACACTCAGCCTCAGCTCCTGGGTCTGTGGAGAGATGGGCAAGACCCCTCCCGGTGCCTCAGGAAGCTTCCCAGCGGAGGCGGCAGATTCCACGGGCACTCCCTCAGGGCTGGCCTGGAGCTCACACCTGTCTGCCCAGGCCTGGGGCCAGCAGGCCAGGGTGAGTGCAGCCTGGGAGCGAGGAAAAGATGGAGTCTGAGGAAGGCATGAGGCTAGAATCACCTTACCTGGTTCAGTGAAGTTCCCCATGGCAGCCATCACTGGCCCCTTCTGCTCCTTGGGGATAATCCTGTGGAGGAGAGACCCCCATAAATGGACCAGCCTGCCTCCATTTCTCCCCAGACCTCCTTCCAATCCCTGGTTCACCCTGCCCCGGTCCTGAACAGCTTTAGACCAGCCCAAAATCACAAGCAAGGGATATCTGAGCTGGAAGAGCCTTCAGGGTCTCTGTGCAGAGGAGACTGGGGCCCAGGGAATGAGAGGGAGGTGCTCAAGTTTGCACAGATCTATTTTCGTGTTGCTAGGGAAGCACTGTCTCTTCAAGGGTGGTTTCTAGGGGCTTTTCCCAGCTCAGGCATCCTGATCAGAGGGAGAGTAGGTGCCAGGGGCATCCGGGTGGGGCAGGCAAAGGTCTCAGACTACTGTCATCTGTTGACCCAGGAGAGTCCTATTCCACGACTGAAAGAGGTTGGAGGTTTAAGTTAGGGGAGAGGAAGCATGGGCTAGGCTGGGGCTGCAATGGGGTCTGTGAGGCTGGTGTGCCCCTCTCATCCCTGGCACTTGGCCCTGAGGCTTGAGGGCACAGGCTGGTCCAACCAAGCAGAGAGAACCATCCCCCATCTTCCCCATCTCCCCATTACTGGGCTAACTTCTGTGGTGTTCTTTTCTCCCTCATCCCTTCTCTCCCTCCTGTTCCATCCCGCGATTTGTATCTCATGGCACTTTCAAGGAATCTTGGAAGAGATCTGCAAATCAAATGAGGTCCAAAGCCCTTAACTTGCTCTCTGGAGAAGAGGCAGAGCCCTTGAGCTCCTTGACTGACCACCCAGCCTGGTACCCTTCTCCTTTGCCTCCGGATTTTTCTATACTCCTTCCTTTAGAAAACAATCTGCCTTCATCTGTATCCCCAACACCCACAAGGGGCCCTCGGTCTGTGGGCACTCATTGTGCAACTGGAGTCTAGTGGGTGTCCCTGACTTTCTCTGTAACTGCAAACAAGTAGCTCTGCAGCTCTGCACCTCAGTTCCCCCTTCTGTAACATTAGGGGGCTAGGCTAAATCATGGAGATACATGGATGGGCTTTAGGGTGTTCACAATCCCCCTAAAACTGTAGGTAAACATGAGTGTGTCTACATGCATTTGGGGATGAGGGTCATGGGATGACTGAGAATGCCTCGATCATGACCGTTTAGGATTCCACAGTCCACAGATCTGTTTCTTGATAAACACTCCCTTTACAGAAATTCACAGACGCTGGGAAGGGTCTCTCATTTTACAGACAGAGAAGCTGCTTCCCTCTACTGCGTAAAAATCCCAAAGTCCTGAGCAGAGCCATTACCTATTCCCCACCTTTAATCCTAGCCACACCCTCCCCATTTAATGCAGGGTAACCTAGAGCTTAGAGTTCCTCTCCTCCCAAACCAGGATCTAGGCTTTCATGGGGTTCCAAACTCCCTAGATCTACTGCAGGGCCCTTCCTCTCCTGGAGAAGGAGCTCTGGGGATTGGCTCATCTTCTCTGCCCACTCCCCCGAGTTCCCCAAGCTCCCCTAGGATGCTGGTACCTGAGAGAGTGGGACCACAGTGGGCAGGAGGGAATCTTAGACCCCCAAGATTAACACCTCTGTCGGGAAGCTGAGAGTTGCGTGGTGTCCCTGTAGGCAGTCAGCGGTCAGCAGTCGGTAGGCAGCGAGCAGGGTGTCCCCTGCAGCCAGCTCTGGCTTCAGCTGATGAGAATCATTCCTGCCTTGCCATGGGTCACAGCCTTATTTCGGGCTGCAATAGGAGCTGGAGCCAGATGCTAAAAGCACCAGACCCTAGGGAAGACAGGTGCCCTGGCAACAGGCCTTTGCCGACAGAGGGCTTGCACCCACGTGTACACACACGCTCACATATGCATGCACCAAAGTCACCTGGAAATGTTGAGGGTCAGCTGCTGGTAGCTTCCGCTTGTTAACTGTTAAATCCTTAGTGCCAAGAATGGTGCCTGACAGGAACTCAGTAGATATTTGCCAGGTGAATGAATGGATGGATAGATAGATGGATGGATGAATGAATTGCTCCTCAATATCTTTGCTTGACTTATCCTTTTCTTCCTTCCTTTTTTCTCTCCTGCCTTTCTTCTTCTGTCTCCTTCCTGCCTGCCTTCTTTTCTCCCTTCCTCCCTCCCTCCCTCTACCTTCTCACATTCCCTGAGCCTCTCTCTAAGGACTGAAAATAAATAAGGCAGGGCTCTGTCTTCAAGGAGCTCAGCCAGGTCAGATTCAGATGGGTAAACAAGCTTTGGGGAAGGCTCTAAGAGAGCCCAGGGGAGGGAGTTACCAGCTCAGTCTGGAGTAGGGGGTGAGAAGGCTTCCCAGAGGAGGACACACTGGAGTTGGGCCTTGAAGGATGAGTGGGAGTTCACTGGGCAGAGAAGGGGCATGGCAGGCCGTGGACATGTCACTTATAAAGATGGTAGGGGGTTGGCAAGTAGAGCCATTGCTGAGGGCAGTGCTGAGAGATTAGCCCAGACAGTGGGGGCAGGGGCCAGATCCCAGCAGGCTTTCAAAAGGAAACTGTGTTTATAAAGGGTTGCTGACAAGATCAAAGTGGTGAAATGGAGTGATCAGATTGGCATTTTCCAAAGATATCTTTGCTGCCATGTGGGAAATGGGTTGGAGGGGGCCAGACTGGAGGCACGAGGATCTGTCACTAGGGGTGGCTGGATTAGAGCAGTGACAAGGGGATGGAGAGGAGAGGGAGTTGAAGGGTATTTGAAGAACTCTCAGGTCTTGGTGAGGAATTGGATGTGGGAGGTGAGGAAAGGGAGTCCCACTCCCCTGTTTCATGCTTGGGTGACTGGAAGAGGAGGAGCAGGTGGGGTAGGGGTAGACACTGAGGTCAGTTTTGGATGAACTTTGTTTGAGGTGTCAGGGGACTGGGATGAGATCACCAGTAGGCAGTGGGACACCGTGCTGTGGTGGGGCCCCAGCCGAAGATAAAGATTGGGTCCAAGGCACACACCACTCCTGGGGAATGGTGGGTCTAGCAAGGATGGGCTGGGCACAGGGTGGGGAGCGCCTGTGTCTGTATGCTGGCAGACTATCCTGGAGCGTATTTCTGACACCCTCTCAAATCAGAAGCCTGGGTTCTGCTGTCCACCGCCCTGACCTTAGCTTCCCAGCCCTCGGTGGGCCTGAGCTTCTAGAGAGGAAGAGTGAGATGTGTTCCTAGGGCAAGCTTAGCCTCACCTGGGAACAGGACCACAATCCCCTTCTCTGGCCAAAGGACACTCCTGTCAGGAGACGATGCCTCATGGCCTGAGTCCTTGCTTAACTAGGGCTTCCTGGCTCAGATGGGACCTCTTACAGTGGCTCCTTTCCTGCCCTGGCACCCCCATCTGCCATGAGGAAACAGCCCCAGAGCACAGAGCCCTGACCCAGCTTGGCCCTGCCCACTCTGGTGACAGTGCTCTGTGGTCAGAGCCTGGACAGTACTGCCTGAGACATTACCTAGACCAATTCTCCCCTTTATATGGATGGGGAAACTGAGGCCTGGAGAAGGAGTGGGCTCACCCAGGGTCACCTTGCTCATCCATGACAGGACCAGGACTTCAACCCAGGAACTTCTATGGCCTCAAGTTGTCCGTTGTTCCCATCTCTCCCCATGGCTGCTTCTTCCCAAGCTCCCATCCCATGTGTCTCAAATATTCCCAGCCACCCAGAGTCCCATGGACTGCTCCATGCTTGGGGAGAAGGGAAGGGCATCAGACACAGCTGAAAATGACACAGGAGGCAGAAGAATGCAGGAAGCATTTATTGAGGGCCAGAGCTGAATTCTACAAGAGGCAAGAGGCAGGACACAGGCAAGCTCTAGTGGGTTAGAGGAGAGGTTGGGGAGAAGGCAGTGACAATGAGAGAACAGCCAGGGGCTGGCTTGGGAACTGCGGGTTTCTCAAGGCTGCCTCCTGCTAGTCCTTTGGGAAATGCAGGTAGAAGTGGATCCTCTATGCAACTGCCTCAGCCAGAGGCCTGATGGTGTCCCTTCTCTGGGAGGGGCCCTTAGCCCCAATCTCCTGCACTACAAGGGACCCAGCAGCAGGTGGGGGCTTTGGTAAATATAGTCACTCATCATTAACTGAGTAAGAGCCCCTTCTCATCTTCACACCAGCAGGAGCTGTGTCCTCATTCCTGAGGCCCAAGGAGCACTCCAAGGTCACACTTTCATTCCAAAGCACCCCGTCCCAACCCTATCTTTCATACTGACCTTAACTCTCTCCAGCCTCACTTGGGGGTTCTAGATCTAACACCACCCTGATGGGTGAGTCAGTCCTAAACCCATACTCTCCATCACCTTTAGCAACATCCTGCTATCCTTTCACCTACATACATTTGATCCTCAGCCAATTCCATCCCCTCAGCTGATCCTGAAGCTAATATTCTGAACCTCTAGAAGGCTCTACCAGCCAACTCTGGAAACTACAGAACTCAGCCATATTCCTCCCTGAGTCCCACCTGGGGACTGGAATCAGAGCCACCAAGGTTTAGGGAATCAGTGAGGGCCTACAGCCAGGCTCCCCCAGGTCACTGGACACCAGGCACCAGCTAGGTCAGAGTGCACTGGGGAAGGGATGCGGCAGGATAATGTCTACTTTTCTGGGCACGATACGGACACTGGGACTGAGGTCTGACACTGAAGAAGGGGACATTTCCAAGGGGGCCAGAAATACAGGCAGACCCTAACCTAGCAGCCTGCTCATGTACCCAAGCTCATCGGCCCCTAAATTCAAGCCCAACTAGCCCACCACCAGCACCCACCCCCCACTTCCTAATACCATGGAATGCATTTCAAGACTGGAAGAGACCTCAGGGGTCATCTGAGCCAATCCTGTCCCCTGCTAGAATCTCCTCTATGCATCCTGGCCATGCTTTTCATATTTCCCGTAACAAGTAACTCTTTGTCTCTCTTTCCCAATAAGCAACCCCAAACTGAGGGCAATCAGGTAAAGTCACATGGTAGCTCTGTACCTCTTCTCTCCCCAGTTCAGCTTTGAGCCCAGAACCTGCCATGAATGGGCCCAGAAGGAACAGATGAGCTGGAGGCCCAAGTCCTGGGCCTAAGGGAAATCACTGCCTTATAGTTCTCTTGTGGCTGCAGGTAAGATGTCCTGGACAGTCTGAACCAGGGTGGAGAAAGTAGCATGACAGGGACCCAGGGAGAATTTTCCTGCCTCTTCTCTCCAGAGGGTATAGTGGGACACCTTGAGCTGGCCTGGGAGACCTCTCTAAAGGTCATTGTGATAAAAATAGTGCTTGTCTGGGAAGGGATGGAAAACAGCTGCTCCTGCCTAGGACTTGGTGCCAGGGAGCCGGATGGTCAGGCCAGTGTCTGGACATGGGACATAGGCCTAGGATCTTCCCAACACACTGCACTTGCCAGACTTCAGAGAGCAGAGCCAGGAGGGGAGGGAGGAGTATGGAACCCCGAAGGCAGCAAGTCCAGGGGTCCATATACACATTGCCCTGCTTCATCCAAGGCACTAACGTGTATATGTGTGTGTGTGTGTGTGTGTGTGTGTGTGTGTGTGTGAGAGAGAGAGAGAGAGAGACAGAGAGAGAGAGTGTGTGTGTATTGATGGGAAGGGGAACTTTGACGTTTGTGGATTGTCTTGGCCAAAGCCACCATTAAACAGATGGGAAAGCTGAGGGTCAAACAAGGAAGAGTCTTACCCAGGGTCACACAACAGCTGAATGACAGCAAGGGCTAGAACTCAAGCTTGCGTCCCTAACCCATCCCCAAGCCCAGAGCTCTCCTCTGCTGACCCCTCAGCTCTGGGGCTGCCCAAAGAGGCCAGACCCTTTGGGTCCCCCAGGTCTGATGAGCCTTCTTCTGGCTCTGTCCTCCCGGGGTGGGGCCGGGGGTGGGGCTCTAGGTGGTGCAGGAGGCCTCGGCGGGGAGGCTGCCACGCTTCAGCCGAAGGCTGCCGTTCCACCCGCGGGGACAGATATTGTAGCCGAGGATGCCGGGAGACTTAGCCCCGGAGTCCTCGGAGTCGAGGGACACGTCGGAGTCCGTGGGCGAGCGGCGGTAGAGGAAGGGCCTGGGAGGCGCGGGCAGCGGGCTCCGGGGACTGGTGCAGGACGACGGCCCGGCGGGAAGCGGGCTCCGCGGGATGGGCGCGAAGGCTGCCCCCAGCAGAGCAGCCGAGCCGGGGCGGGCGGGCTGTGGCGAGCGCATGCGCGGGGGCGGCGGCGGCGGTGCCCTTGGCGGGGAGAAGGGCCGCAGGCTCTCGGCGCCCGCCGACCGCGGGGAGGCGCTCTTGCGCCGGGCCGCGTTGATGATGTTTCGCGCCAGAAGCGCCTGCAGCTGGCGGCTGGGGGGCCGCGCCTCGGTCTCCGGTCGCAGCGGGGACACTGAGCGCTCGCTCCACGAGGGAGACATGGGCGGCGGTGGCGGCAGCGGCGGGGGGCTGCTCATACTGCTCCCGCGGCTTGGCTCCCACGGCCCCGGGCTTACCCAGCCGTCTAGGCTGCTGGGGGGCCGGGACGCGCCCGGCGTCCAGGGAGGGGAGGTGGGCAGGCTCTCCCGGCGGTCCTGGGGAGAGAGCAGAGAGGGTGGGGCAATCATTAGTGCTGGGTTCCTCCACACCGGGCTTTAGGAAGGGACGGAGTCCGATTTGTCTGTTACACCGAGAAGGGAAACCACCGATCCAAGTCAGGTAGTACCTGCAATAAAACGCAGGCGCCCAAACTCAGCCCAGAACGCTTGAAGAGCCCCCGCTGTCTTGTGTCTGCTCCCGTGTTAAGACTCGCTTTGGAGAGAGACGCCTTAACTTACTAACTGAGCTTGGGCAAGTTCCTTCACCCCTCTGGGCTTCAGTTTCTGCTTCTGTAAAATGGGGTGTAACAACAGTACTTAATCCTATAGGGTTGTTGTGAGGGTTAAATGAGATAACTGATGGAAAAGAACATTACATATATCGGCACATTCCTTGGAAGAAAGTGCTCAATAGATGTTGATTACCATAAAGAAATGCTAGAAGGGCCTGGCGCTGTGGCCCGCGCCTGTAATCTCAGCACTTTGGGAGGCCGAGGTGGGTGGATCACCTGAGGTCAGGAGTTCGAGACCAGCCTGGCCAACATGGAGAAACCCCGTCTCTACTAAAAATACGAAAATTAGCGGGCATGGTGGCATGTGCCAGCTATGCGGGAGCTGAGGCAGGAGAATCGCTTGAACCTGAAAGACGGAGGTTGCAGTGAGCTGAGATCGTACCACTGCACTGCAGCCTGGGCAACACAGCGAGACTCTGTCTCAATTTAAAAAATACTACTAGAAGGATATAGAAAGATACATGCGAACTAACCAAAGTGGTCACCTGTTAGGAAATGGGGTGAGAACAGGATCAGGGCATGCAGCCTGAGGCACTGGGAGTTGCTCTGTTTGTGGCACATCCCAGGAAACTTTCAGTCAGGCTAGCTGAGGGAGGCTTCGGTTTCCCCATGATTTAGGGAGAGGAGCTGGGAGGGAGGTCCTGGACCCAGGGCCACATGGGAAGAACTAGATAGAGGCTGAGGCTAGTGTCTCAGGGCCAAATGCCAAGTCAGGGTGGGCTCTGTATGTCCTCCCGTCTGACCACAGTGTCACCTGAGCAGGGAGGTGGGGCCTAGAGCTCATGACCCAAGCCAGTCAACAACTACTGAGGCAGGGGAACCTGGCTCTTCAACCAGAAGAGTAGGCTGGGGCAGGGAGATGGGAATAAGACTTTTTAATATATTACTTTTTATATAAGTTTAGATTTCCGAATCGTATGAATGTATTACCTATTCAAAATTAAAATGTAAAAATATTGACCATTATTATTATTTTTTTAAGATGGAGTTTTGCTCTTGTTGCCCAGGCTGGAGTGCAATGGCACAATCTCAGCTCACCGCAACCTCCGCCTCCTGGGTTCAAGTGATTCTCCTGCCTCAACCTCTGGAGTAGCTGGGATTACAGGCATGTGCCACCACGCCCGGCTAATTTTGTATTTTTAGTGGAGACGGGGTTTCTCCATTTTGGTCAGGCTGGTCTCCAACTCCTGACCTCAGGTAATCCACACATCTCAGCCTCCCAAAGTGCTGGGATTACGGGCGTGAGCCACTGAGCCCAGCTGACTATTATTAAAGTTGGACTTAGGGAAAGACCCTCTCAGCCCCAAACCCCTTGCCATGTCGCCATGGTCACTTCCTCATCTTTCCTTGGATACCCAAGCAGGGAGGAAGATCCTCCTGACAGATGGAAATTCAAAAGGAAGTTGGGTCATGCACATGCCCAACAGCAGCACATGCCCCTCACTGAGCTTCTTCACAGCATGGGGAGGGGAGTGTGGTTTTGGAGAGGCCAAGATGGTGAACAGCTTGGAGGCTATGAAGCACTGGTTGGCAATGCACGGCCATACCTGTTTCCTATGTACTTAAGGACTTTCAGTCTACAAACTTTGTTCTCATCCTTTATCTCATTAGGTTTTCACAACAGACTAGTGAGGTAACTAGCATTATCACACCCATTTTACAAATGATTAAAATGAAGCTCAGAGGTATAAATAACAATCTAGTGTGTTCTGCCCCACCGGGAAGTGTGTGTGTGTGTGTGTGTGTGTGTGTGTGTGTGTGTGTGCGGCTCAAAGCCTACATGTTTAAGCAGTTTGAACTGGTTTGAAAGTGGAGGGCTTGGGAATCCCTGCCTAACATGTATCTCCTGAACTTTCCAACTGTTCACCCAATCAGATTCCAGCAATAACCAGTCCACCTTGCCATTCAATCCAATCCAAATTCACTAGCAGTCATCCACCACAGTTCAGAGCTAGCCAGGCCATTCCATGCTTCCTACCCAATCAAAATCTAGAACCATCCAAAGATTTATTCTTTCATCCAATCAGTGATCAGCCATAACCAAGCCAGTCATCCTCTCATCCAACTGAGGGTCTTCTAATTCCTTCCAATCCAAAGGAAATAGACACTAATTGTATGTTTTATCCAAACAGAATGTAGCAGCTGCTAGATGAGCCCAGACTCTAAATTGGAGCCCTTTAAACTAAAGGGGAATGTTATACAACAGCCTGAGCAGGACATTTTTCATGGGATGCTAATGCTAGAGTGACCCTTAGAGACACCCTAGGGACATCCAAGCTCCCAGTCATCAAGCTGAAAGTTAAGGCTCAGCCTGGGATCACACTCTTTTCCTCCCAGGGTCAGAATTGTGTATACATGAGCCAGAGAACACTGGGAGCTTCTCTGTGTCTATGAAACATCCCAGTCAGCCTGGTCAGAGAGGGCAGACTCCACAGTTTAGGGAGAGGAGCTGGGAGGGAGGTCCCAGCTCTAGGGCCAAATGCCAAATCAGGGTGGGCTCTGGCATGACCCAACACCTGACCACAGTGCCACCCTGAGCAGGGAGGTGGGGCCTAGAGTTCATGACCCAAGCCAGTCAGTAACCACCCAAGGCAGAGGAACCTGGGGTCTTCAGCCAGGAGAGTAGGCTGTGCAGGAGAGCTATGATAACCACCTAAAAATCTCTAAAGCATTGTTTCTCCCTTTGGTGACCACAAGGGGAATGCTGGGGCCAATAAGTGGAAGGAACGATTCAGCCAAGACTACAAAACAGAAAGGCTCAAATGGGGTTGAATGTTGAGGGCAGTGGTAGGCAGCTCCTCATATCTGGAGATGGGCCAGAACCTGACCTCACTCTAACAGCCATGCCTGGGCACTGACTCTGTGTGTATGTTTGGAGTGGGGAGTGTGCACAATAGGAAAAGGCTGCAGGAAATCAGAACTCTTCACTTTCTGACAGACTGTTCAATGCACCATGCACACCAGAGCTCCTTGGGAATGCGGTGGGTGAAAATTCAAAAAGTAGCATCCGCTCACCCCAACCCCAGACCCAAAGCAGGGCACGTGTGTGAGGTGAATGCGTAAGTAGAACACAGTCAAACCTGGACTGTCAGAGACCAAACGGGGCTCCCATACCACCTTCTGTAATCCTTTCACTGCACAGAAGGGGAAACTGAGGCCCAGAGATTGGAAGAGGTTGTCTGAGGTCACACACGAATCAGATGCAGACCTGGGGTTAGAACCCAGTTCTCCTGACCCTCTATGGCAGTTCTTTCCTCCCCACCAGGGGCAAAAACTCCATGCTTTCAGGATCCAGACAGTGAAAACAATGGCAAAAGTGGGAAATGGCCACGTGTAGATAATAGAGAGGAGGGAGGGACTGAGGGAACTGGAGAACGAATGCTGGCTAGAGGCATTTCTATTCCACTTGTAAAGAACCCAAACAAACCTGAACCAGAAGAGGTAGTGCATTTTCCCCAAAAATCCTCTACAGTGTTTTTGGCCAAACTCTGAGGGAAGGAAAGAACAAAAGGTGGCTATTTGCACAGGATTCTGGCTCCCTGAGTGCTGTAGAGAGGAAGGCCTCACTTCCAAGCCAGCACACGTCTGTACCCGTGCAGAACCAGACATACAGCAGATGCAGGCAGCACGCAGGACACAGCCACACTTTCACGCACAGTAATTGAGCAGGCCCACTCCACTTCCCAGGCTAGAATCAGGGAGGAGGAAGGGAACCCTGACCCCTAGCAGCACGGAAGAAAGAAAGAAGCAAGACGGATTTGAGGCAGAGTGTATTGAGAATATGAGAGAAAACAAAGTTGGGGGCAGAGCTCAGCCTGGCCGCAGGAGCTGCAGAATGAAGGGTGGGCTCTTCCATTTGATGGCCCTCAAGGGTCGAAGGGAGCAGGGGTCCAGGGCAGGGGCTTCACTCTGTTCTGGGAGGGGCCAGGCCTGAAGGAGCTGAGCTCACTCACAACTCCCCCATGCATACCCCCTTGATTTGTGTGAAATGAGCTCACTAAGAAGGCACCCCTGTTTCCATGGAGACAAGCCCAGAGCTCACAAAAACTGCAGGCTCAGCCCAGCATGGGCACCGCCTCCACCACCCCTTGCCCCACTGGGGAGCCCAGAAATAGGACTGGGAAAGAGAAGTGGGTGGTCCTCGGCCCCCAGCCTTGCGAAGCTTCCATCTGAATCCTGCCACTTATGTCTGTATTCTCTCACCCCCCACAAAGCCTGGTTTGGTCGGGGGCTGTATCATATCACCTCTAAAAGTGTCAGAGGTGACGGGGAGTCTCCAGCTACCTGACTTAACACTCTCACTGTATGAATGTGGAAACTGAGACCTACAGACACACATGCAGTTGGTCTGTTAGAATCCAGGTTTCAAGTCCCAGATTTTCCTCAAAACTCTAAGGTCTCCTCTGTCCCTTCCCACTGCACTGCTATGCCTTGCCCTAGGTCCTGCTGGTGCTCCCACTGTCCCCAGGCAATCTTGAGCCTGAGCCAGCCCAGCCCAGCCCAGCCCAGGCATCCCTTGGCCTCTTGCAGCAGCTCATTCCAACCCTTCCTTCACCAGGTCACCCTCACAGCCATCTAACGCCACCTGTCCTTTGGCAATAGCCCATTTCCTTTCTCTTTCTTCCCAGGGGACTGTCTTGTCACTTACAAGGTCTTCCTTCAAAGAACCAGCCTATCCTCTCAATCCTCACAGATTGTTACAGCTAGAAAAGCCCTCTTTGTATAAATGATAAAACTGAGGCCCAAAGAGAGAACGTGAGTGGGCCAAAGTCACACAGCAAATGGGAGGGTGACATGGGACCAGAACCCTCCTCTCCTGCCTCCCCCTGGGCCCCGTTCCAGTGCACTGAGGTGGCTTCTTTTAGTCAGGCAGATCTTGGTTGAATCTGAAGCCAAAACAGCCAATGGATACATGGCTAGGGGCCACCCTCCCTGTGGCACACCCACATCTGCACAGCCTCCTACAGGGCTCTCCTGGGGATCCCCTGGGACGTCCCCCACCCCTACAGCAGTGACAGCAAGCCAGGAAGAACTGGGGCTGAGGCCTGGGCCCAGTGGTCTCCCTAAAACAGAGCCAGGCCTCGGAGGGGGCAGGAAGAAAAGCGTCAGACAGCAGTGGTGGGCTGAGTCCGCAGCCAGCAGAAGGACCCCGGAGAGGAGCGCAGGCGGAGGCGAGGCAAAGCTCTCTGAAGCAGCGGAGAGGAAACGGTGTCCAGAAGGCAGAGGCAGAAGAGACAGGCCCGTGGAGGTGAGAATCCAGCGATAGGAAGAAAGATGCCAGGAGCTTGAGCCTCAGGAGGGAGGCCCCCACTGGGGCAGCTGAGGAGGCAGACCCTTGGCTGGCTGACTCCACAGGCACTGGCAGGCTCTGTCTGCTCCAGAAGTCCCTGTTAGGATCCCCTTCTAGGCCACTCCTCCAGCAAGACGCTGGCATCAGACGCTGCATCCCTACAGCTCACAAAGGCCAGTGGATGCCCCTCTACCGCATCAGGGCTGCCAGACAGTTCTCTCTCCATGACCCTCCTCCCCACTCAGACACGGAGTCCGACCCCCGTTGTAGTAGGGGAGGGGCAGCTTCAGCTCAGAGAGGGGAGGCGACTTGCCCAAGGTCACAAAGCCAGCTGGTGGCCGCATCTGACCTTGAACCATGGACTCCCCATTCTCCTCACTCAGCTCTGTGCCATTTCCTGCCACGTCTGCTCTCCATCTGGCCCTCAAGGAGGGGAACTTGACCGGCAGTGGGACCCCAGTGGGGTTCGTTACTTGAAGCAGAAGGAAGGCTTCCACACCTGAGCCTCAATCCCGGCGTTCCGGGTAGAGAAGGAGGGCCTGGGGGCCTGCTTGGCTCGGGGAGACCATGCCCTGGAGGGAGACACAGGGGAGATGTCACCGCCGTAGGGAGGGCTCACAGCAGTGGGCTGCAGGCTGTCCTGGCCGGGGGAGGTGTAGAGGCCCGGTGAGGAGCGGGAGGGCCGAGGCAGGGCAGGAGACGGAGGGAGAGCCCCCTTGGGCAGGTTGGGCACCAGGTCCAAGGAGCTGGGCTTGGCAGGCGAGGCAGCTCTTGGCGAGACCTTGGCAGGCTCCTTGATAGGAGAGAGGACAAAGAGCGAGGGCCGCAGCTGGTACGGCGGCTGCTTGGTGGGCTCTGGGCGCAGGACCCCGTTCTCAGGCAGGTAGCCATGGTAGAGGGAGGCAGGCGGGGTCCGGGCTGGGCTTCGGGATGCCACTCGGAAGGCCCCGGGGGCGTTAGTGGGGTATTTCCAGGAGGAAGGCAGGGACATGGTAGGTGATGGGCAGCGGGCCAGCTCCGGTGTATGACTTGAAGACTCGATGACATATTTCTCCATCCGTGACTGGCGGCGGGCATAGAGCTCAGCCCCCTTCCCAGAGGCCTCGGAGAGGTTCTGGTTGGGTTTGGGCTTCGGCTTGGCCTGGATGCGGGGTGACTTGAGGCAGGAGGCCCACTCTGGGACCGCCTCCTCTACCGCCGCGGGGCTGGCCCTGTCGCGAGGTGCTGGCTCCTGCTGGAAGTTGGAGGCCTCGGCCCCCAGTGCGAAGGGCTCCTCCTCCACGCCTACCTCCCCCTGGTCCCTCTGCCGCCGCTTCTCATCCGCTGTCTGTACCAGATCCAGCAGGTCTGGATTCGGGGTCACCTTGGGCTTCTCCACGAAGGTAAACATGGATTTGCGGCTGCCCCGGCGGGCCATCGACTCCTCCAGAATGCCTGTCTTGCTGGCAGGAACAGCCTGGCCCTTCAGATGAGAAGACTTGGGGTCGGAGCTGGGGTACAGGGCAGAATATGAGGGAGGAGACCTCACCCAGGAAGCCAGAGGGGCTGTGGACAAGGTCTCAGTGTAGGTCGGGGGTGCGGTGAAGTTCCCCAAGGGGCGTCTCTCTGAGGCCGGGCTTCGCTGCCCCATCAGCCTCCTTTCCACCATGGGGCTGTGGGACATTATGTGTCTCTGTGGCCGGGGACTCCTGTCTGGGATACTGGGGGGCTGGGGAGCCGGAGCCTTCTCTCCAAAATGTCGTCTCTCTAGCATGGGGCTCCTCTCCATCTGGCTGGTGCCCCCTGGCGCCTGGATCCCAAAAGGCCTGGCCGTCCTGTTGACCACTGATGGGGGCTTGGCCAGTGTGAAGTGGACCTCACTGTAGACCTTGGTGGGTGTGGTGGCAGTTGCTCGCCCAGACATCTCTTGATCTGCTGACACCACCAGGGTGTTGGGCTGGATGTCAATGAGTAGGGAACTGGACATGAAATCTGAGGCTGGGGGCCTGGAGCTGGGGATGAGCGTAGCTTCTCTGGAGAAGGTGCTGGTGGTGGTAGCTGGAGTTGATACCTTGTCAATTAGGAGTGTGCTGCACCTCACTTCCTCAGCCGGTGCCTGGGGTTGCCCGTCAGCACACAGGGTGCTGGGTTTGGAAGCAGGCACTGTGCTATTGGATGGGAGTTGGGCCTCTGAGGAATTCTGTTGGATGCTAGAGAGTGGCAGGCTCTGTGGAGCGACAGTTGCCGGTGGGTTCTGATTGACATCGGTGGCTGGCGGGTTGTGGCTGCTGTTAGAAACTGGTGTGGTGAGCGTGGCACTGGGCGAGGCAAGGTTTTGGTTGACATCTGCAGCAGGGCTGTGGTCCTCAGCTGGAGGTGGGGCCGGTGAGGACTGCTGGGCCTCTCGGTTTTGGGACAGGTGGAGCCCATTGGCTGTCAGCAGTGCTGCGTTCTCCTTTAGATAAACCACCAGTGGCACCTCTTCCTCCTCACTGGCCACCCTCTCCAGGTGCCGCAGCAAGCTAGCCTCCTCTGAGTACCCCTCCATGCTGTGGCCAGGGACCCCGCTGTCGGGGCTCTGGGGATTGGGGTGCCGTGGAGGGCCTGGCTCTGGCAGCGAGGTGGAACTCAGGCTGAGCCCCGGGGCATGGCCTGGGGGGCTTTCAGGGAGCACTTTGAGGGACTCCTGGCTGGGCTTCTGTCCCCTCTGGCCGTGGCTCTCCAAGGTGAACTCGTTCACCCTCTGCCGGCGCCTGTTGAAGAGTTGGACGCCACGGGAATTGGAGCTGGGAGGGGTGGTCAGCTGGGCTGCAATCTGCTGGCTCCGCGCCTTGGCCTCTTTCAGATCCTTCTCCGTGAGGCTAGTGCTCTGGCCCAACGCTGCGGGGAGGGACAGAAGCCCAGTTAGCAAACAGGAATGCAGTGACACAGGGGTGCACAGACAGACAGGCAGACCGAGATGGTCGCCTCGGCCCTTCCTACACAGGATCTCTTCTTCTGGAATTTAATTGTCACTCGCTGTTTCTTAGAATTAGCTCACTTCGTAATCAGCCCTGACCTACCTTTCATGGCCCAACTCAAATGCCACCGCCTCTACGCCACTCTGATTATCCTCTCAGGATTAACTGGTCCCTGATTTGGATTCCCCCTGACAGTTGCTGATACAGCACTTTACCAAACTGAGTACAAACACCTTACCCTAGAAGTCCCTCCGTGTCCCTGGCTCCTCCCCACCGCCTTCTCCTCTCTCACTAGCCTCTGCCACACTGGCTTGCTTTCTCTTCCTTGAAAATGCCAAGTATGTTCCTGCCCCAGGGCCTTTGGACTTGCTGCTCCCTCTGCTTGGAATAATCTTTTCCCAGGTAGCAGTCCATGCTGGTTCCTTCTTGCCACTCAAGTCTCAGCTGGAATGTCCCCTCTCTGGAGGCACCTTTCCTTCTCCTATCCCAATCTGTTTTGTTTCCTCCATAGCATTCACCAAGTTGAAATGATCTTTATGTTTTCCTCTCTATTATCCACCTCCTCGCCTAGAGCATAGCTCCAAGGGGCGATGACCTTGCCTGACATGTTTTTTTGTTTTTTTGTTTTTTGTTTTTTTTGAGAAGGAGTTTCTTCGCTCTTGTCACACAGGCTAGAGTGCAGTGGCGCAATCTCGGCTCACTGCAACCTCCGCCTCCTGGGTTCAAGTGATTCTCCTGCCTCAGCCTCCCAAGTAGCTGGGATTACAGGCATGCGCCACTATGCCCAGCTACTTTTTGTATTTTTAGTAGAAATGGAGGTTCACCATGTTGGCCAGGTTGGTCTCAAACTCCTGACCTCAGATGATCCACCCGCCTTGGCCTCCCAAAGTGCTGGAATTACAGGCGTGAGCCACCACACCCAGCCACCTGACTTGTTTATCACTGTAACAGCAGCTCCTAGAACAGCACCTGTCATACAGTGGCACTCAGTAGATATTGCTGAATGCACAAATGAACCCCCAGAATATTTTCTGTGTGCCCTCCTTAGGGCCCTTTATACTTTCAGACTTATAGTATAGGAATGTGCTCTAATTTTTTTAAACAAAAATATTTTAATAAACCACTGTCTGGTTTAATTTTTTTTAATTTGTATTTATTTATTTTTTTGAGACAGTGTCTCACTCTGTCACCCAGGCTGGAGTGCAGTGATGAGATCTCAGCTCATTGCAGCCTTCATGTCCTGGGATCAAGTGATTCTCCTGCCTCAGCTCCCCAAGTAACTGGGACTTCAGATGTGTGCCACCATACTCGGCTAATGTTTTTTTTGTAGAGACAGGGTTTCACCATGTTGCTTAGGCTGGTCTCAAACTCAGGTGGGCTCAAGTGATCCGCCCACCTCAGTCCCTCGAAGTGCTGGGATTACAGGCATGTGCTTTGATTTTATAGAGATGTCACTAATATTTCCCCTTTTTAGAGTAGGTAATACATTCACATGATCTAAAAATTTATTTATTCATTCATTTTTATTTTATTTTTACTTTTCTGAGACAGGGTCTTGCTCTGTTGCCCAGGCTGGCATGCAGTAGCACCATCATAGCTCACTGCAGCCTCAACCTCCTGGGCTCAAGCCATCCTCCCACCTCGGCTTCCCAAATGGCTGGACTATCATCAGTGTGCACCACCACGCTTAGCCAATTTTTTTTTTTTGTATTTTTTGTAGAGAAGGGGTCTCGCTATGCTGCCCAGGCTGGTCTCAAACTCCTGGGCCCAAGTGATACTCTGGCCTTGGCTTCCTAAAATGCTGAGATTATAGGCATGAGCCACCATATCTGGCCCTAAAAATTAAAACATAAAAAGATATACAGTAAAAAGTGTCACCCCATCCCCGATTACTCCATATCACATTCAGGTAACCACTGTTTGTGTCATTATTCTATCTCCTCCTAGGATTTCTTCCCATTTTTACTTAAATAATCATTTTAAAATTCACATCCTTTAACACTACAAAAGTAACAAATTGAGCTAGTTTCACCAACGACTACTCTAGAACATTGCATTCTTTTATTTTATCTGCACAAAACCACAATGAGACAAGCATTGCTTGCCTGTGTTTTTCAGAAGAAGAAACGGAGGTTCAGAGATATATAAGGAAATGCCCCAAGGCTGCAAAGCCAAGGGTGACAAAGCTGGAGCCAGAACTGTTCTTTCTGGGGTCTCCAGCCCATGCTCAAGCTGTCTGCTCATCCCAAAAGGTCTCTTTGGGACATAAGGAGCAGGAACAAGGTCATCAGGGGTCAGGGGTCAGTCTGGGACTTGAGGTCCTGAGATCAGGCTGAATTCAGTCCCCTATTAATCTATAAGATCACTATAGGCAACCATTTCTCTTTGTATCCCCAATGCCCAGCTGGCACACAGTTGGTGCTCAATTTATAATTATTGAATAATTAATGAACAAAGGATGCATGAACAAACGCCTTGACAGACAGGTGGATGGATCAGCTCGTGACCAGGGTCAGAAGCAACATCAGTGGCTAAGAAAATTCCTCCCTCCATCACCCCTTTCCTCCCTACTGTGGGAAGCTAATTAGTTCTTGAGGAATCTGACCCTGCCCTCCCCTCCCTTGCCCTCATTAGCACTGGCCATGGCATGCTGAGTCTGTCTCCAGGGACAGTCTTTCTAGGCATCTTGCCAGCGAGGCTCTGAATTCATGGACTCTCAGAGCTGGAAGAATTCTTACAGAGGAGGTATTGCATCACCACCCTGTTCTATAGGTGGGAAACAGAGGTCCAGAGAGTAGCCCAGGGTAGAGCTGGCTGACCCCACATGAGAGCCACAGGGAGGTCCACACAGAGCAGAGAAGCTGTGACCAGCAGCGTCACAGCAACTCCACTGGGGCCAGGCCAAGCAGCCACAGGTTTTCTGGCCGCAACCTCCTTCTTTCCTCCTCCATCGAACCTGGCTTTCCCCTAACCTATTAGAAACAGTGAAAGCACACAGCCTATCCCACCCACCCATGATACTACTCCCCTCAATAGGACTCCTCTCCTGCCTGGATCACCCTATCTATTAAAGATGTCTATTAGCCAGGCTGTTCCCCTGGGAGGTGCCTAAGGGATGGGGTGCCAGCCACACGGGAGGGCTCTGAGAGGTTGCTCAGCTCATGCAGCATCTGTCTCCCCTGCTCTGCTTAGAAACCAGGCGTCCTGGCCTGAATCCAGGCTCTGCCATTTGCTAGCCATGTGACCTTGGCAAGTTACTGTACCTCTCAGAGCCACAGTCTCCTTAACTCGACATGAGTGTTGGGAGGCCACAATGAGATCATGAATGCCAAGGCCTGACTGTCATGAAGCCCAGGTGGGCAGAGGGCTCATGCTCTCCTGGCATAAGCTGGCAATTGGTCACCCCATTCCACTCCCTGGAAAAGGTCAGATACTCTTCTAGCATAGGAGATTCGCTGAAGGTCAAATAGCAGGGGATTCCAGAGCTTACTGCCCCCAAACACGGAACCTCGGAATCTCAGAGGCGGCTGTCACCAAGTCCAATCCCCACACAATTCTTGCACCTTCAAAACCACACCCTTGAGTGTGCAAGTCTCTGCTGATGTACTCAGGTGGCATGAGCTCACTCCCCCAGGAGGTGCCTTCCACTAATTAACATTCCTCAGTTAGAAAGTTCCTCCTTACATTAACTTCCATCCACTTTTTTTTTTTTTCTGAGATAGGATCTTGCTCTGTCGCTCAGGCTGGAGGGCAGTGGCGCCATCATGGTTCACTGTAGCCTCAAACTTCCAGGATCAAGCATTCCTCCCACCTCAGCCTCCTGAGTAACTGGGACTACAGGCATATGCTACCATACCTGGCTAATTGTTGTACTTTTTGTAGAGACAGTGTTTCACTATGTTGCCCAGGCTGATCTTGAACTCCTGTGCTCAAGTGATACACCCACCTCAACCTCCCAAAGCACTGGGATTACAGGTGTGAGCCACCATGTCCAGCCTTCATCCACTTTCTTGATGTGGGTCTGCCTCCCCAGGCTGCACAGAAAAAAAATCTTCTCAGCCGGGTGTGGTGGTTCACATCTGTAATCCCAGCATTTTGAGGGGCCAAGGCAGATGGATAATGATGTCAGGAGTTCAAGACCAGCCTGGCCAATATGGTGAAGTCCCATCTCTACTAAAAATACAAAAATTAGCTGGGTGTGGTGGCAGAGGCCTGTAATCCCAGCTACTTGGGAGGTGAGGCAGAAGAATCACTTGAACCAGGGAGGCAGAGATTGCGGTGAGCCGAGATCACACCACTGCGCTCCAGCCTGGGCGACAGAGCAACATTCCGTCTCAAAAAAAAAAAAACAAAAAAAAGTTATCTCATTCATTCCAGCCTGACAGCCCTGCAGAGATTTGCAGATACATCAGATCCCCTTGGGACAGGGTCAGGATAAACATCTGTGGTCCTACCAGTGTTTCTTATGACACAGTTGCAGCAACAGTAGCTAACATTGATTGGTCACTTACTGTATACCTATACACATACTTTACTCATATTATTTAATTTTCAAAACAACCCTACAAGGCACAAACTATTATTATTTATTGATGAGAAATCTACGGCTCAGAGAGGTAGAGTGAGCTGCCCAAGATCACAGAGCCAGAAGGAGTAGAGCTGTGTTCACACCTGGCTCTATGTTACTGCAGAGAGCACTAGGCTCCTGGCTGGCCAGTTCCCATCGTGCAAGGCTCATAGAAAGCACTTCAGTGTTTGATTACTCCAGACCTCTCAATGCCCTTGCATTTTTCTGCTTTTCTCTTCACTGGCTCTAGAAGGCCATGGGTTTAGAAAATCCTCAAATGTCAGAGTGTGCAGGGCCTTTAGAAATAAGCTGGCCTGGGAGGCCCAGCCAAGGAAGGGGTCAGAGAGGAGGAT